ATTTTTTTTAGAGACAGAATCTTGATATGCTTTTTAGAGACAGAGTCTCGATATGTTGCCCAGATCTCAAACTTCTGGACTCAAGCAATTCTCCTGCCTTGGCCTGTCAAAGTGTTAGGATTACAGACATGAGCCACAACGGCTGTCATTTTTTTTTATCTTTTTGATAATAGTCACCCTAATTAGGATGAGATGATATCTCATTGTGGTTTTGATTTACATTTCCGTTATGAATAGTTAATGTTGAGTGTTTTAAACATATACTTATTTGCCATGTATATGTCTTCTTCTGGGAAATGTCTGTTCAGATCACTTTTTCATTTTTTAATCAGGTTGTTTCTTTGTTGTGATATTTTGCCTTATGCAAATAGTATTGTGAAGTATTAATGAAGTAAGACAATTTTATTCAAGGACCAATCCCATGCAAATACATTCAGAGCTGTTCTTAGTTAATTGCATTTATAATTTATACTTTTTATTACCATGTGCATTACTCTAAATTTAGTGAAATTTTACTGTATTTTTACTCAGTGTATATACTGTTGCTCATGAATTGTTGGAGTATAATAGTTAACTATCCTTAATTAAGTCTTATTTATTGAATTTATATGTTGCCATTTTCTATAGGAGTTTTTTTTTTTTTTTTTTTTTTACAATATGAGTGGAATCATTGCTGATTTTCTATGAATATATGAACTGAATTTTCTCAGATAAATCTTATGTTTCTTTTGTGCCCACAAAGACATCTGGATACTCATCAGAAGTGTAAAAATTCCAACTAGAAGAAAAAAGAAATAATTATTATGTCTTTCTTATTTCTATCAAATAAGTTATATCAGGAAAATGATCACTAGCATGTTTAGCTTTTAAGATGTTTCCCAAATGCTGCATAATTTCTTATCAATTTTCATTATTCATACCCATTTCCTAGCAATAGACAATCAATATTGCATGAATGAATAAACACAGAAAATACATTACAAAATTAAAAATGAATCTACATATTTTACTTACCACAACCACAAAATACTCCCAAATAAGGATTTATTTTTGTGTTTAAAATTTTCAATAATAGTTGCCTATATGCATATAATATTCCTCTGCATGCATATAATAAGCCACATTAATTGTGATTCAAATCTTGTTTTGAACACAATATAACAAAATAGATAAAATGGATATTACATATGTCTTTCTACTAAATGGAAATCATGCAGTTCAGCTTCTTAGTGTGTGTTAAAATGCTCAGTATTCAAGATGAACTCTCATACATCGCAACTCTTCCTTTGAAGAGAAAACACATACACATGCCTGTGCACATGCACAAGAAGAAGTTTCAAGGGAAATGCGTTGTTATCAAAACTTCTTCTAAACAAAACTTCATTGCTTAATAAATACATGTGGATTACAATTCCTGGCTTGGATTAAGCAACAATTATACAGCGATAAAGAGCAAAAGTACTTCAATATATTTTAATACTGCTAAAAATCAAACTCAATATGAAATTATAAAAACTTTTTGCAAACATGCTATACTTTAATACTATAATAACTTTTTCTCAGAAACCATTTCTTCTAAAGATGCATTTATTTGATTAATTGTCATTAAATCTAGGTCTTACCTGGCAGTGTTTGTGTCATGACTGTGAAACTAATCCATGATCCAATCTGTTATATTAAAACTTAAATTAGCACATACATAAATGTAATCTAGTAATTTCTTCACTTGTGGCTTTGAATAGGTAATTTTAAGGCTTAAAATATTAGAAAACTTATAGATAGGAATACATTTTCAAAAAATAATAATTTAATTTTTACATATAAAGTCACAAGCAATCTCATAAAATGGGATCATATTTATAAGAAAATGAAAGACTTTAATATTTGAAAAAATTGTGATTGAAATGTTCTATTTTTTTATACCATGATCTATAGATAAGACCTCTATATTTTTCTTGTATATATTAATTTATAATACATATACATACATAAGCACATTCATTTAGTATATCATGAATAGGATTCAAGGATTTACATACATAAATAACATACCTCATAGGTGTAGTTAGGACATGAAACCAGGAAAAACATCCATGTGAAGGGGTTATAATTTGGACTTGGGAAACAGGCATTGTTTCCTTTTGCAAAGGAAAGTAAAATGTCAATGATGCTACATATTGCAAATCTGATCATATGCTTATTATATAATACTAAGTCTCCAAAATAACTGTGTACCACATGAAATGTCATCATATATTTATAGCAACCTATTTCACAAATTACTCAGAAGAGAGCCAGCTTTAAATGTTATAACCTTTTGACTCAAATAAAATAGCTGTCATTTTCATACCATGTCTACAGCTATGTTGCTGTAACATTGCAGAGAACATAAGGATAATGAATTCTTTAAGATTTTAAATATATATAAATTATTTTTACATTATAATAGTTGAAATAGTAATACATCCTGAAATTATAAAGCATTTTTTAACATTTGCCCACCTCTTCACATTCCCCTTTACTATCAAAGAAGATATATTTGTTTGAGATTATTAAATATCTCGATTCCCTGTATTAAATTGGTGATAATCATAAGGAATTTTATAAAGATGTCATTTATACCAGAAAAGTATGCAAACTTCTCATAAAAGGATTACATTTAATATCAGTATAGTTAATATTCTGAGATATCACATTTCTGTTCAGCAATCAGGATTGATATTTACATCTCTCATTATCCTTCACATATTGTCACTTTATTTTTGTTAATTATTTTTCCCTTTTCAATTGTTTTTAAGAAACATTTTAGATAACAAATTTTTAATGATTTCAAATTGAACTTGGAGCTGTGACATTTGTAAAAGTAAGTATGAATTATAAAATTACTGTTTTATTCTCCATACCAAGATTTAATCAGATAACAAATCAGCTAAATTCTTTTCCTTGTAACTCTAAAGTCATAATAAAATGTCAGTGTGTTGTTTTCAAAATTGTAGCAATTGCTGAAATATCAAAGTTAAAAATTATGCTAAGTATTGTGCAGATTTTACAACTGTTCATAAATATAAATATGTAGGTCTTTCGATATTACTGATTTTTTACAGTATTTATGTAGACACCTTTGTGTAATGTCCATATATTAATAAAATAAAGATAATTGAGGAATCTACCCAGGTTATAGTCACTGAATTTCAGAGGCAGAAGGTTCAGGGAATAGTCTGCTTTAGAGTCTGTAGTTTATGAGTGTTCAGCCCCTAGAGGTGCGGAATGATCAAGGGTCTACAAATCTACATTTTTTCCAGATCTACTTTGTGGATTAAATAATGGATATGCCTTATGACACAGAACAATATATGTATATAGATAATATAGTTTCAAGTATACACAGTTGCTATTAACTGTAATATTAAATAAGTTTAGGAGTTACTAATTTAATACTTATATTCTTCATAAATGTTCTCTCAACCTATAGTTATTATAATAGAGCTTCTATTAAATTAAAGTCAGGAGGTTCCTTACATTAAAATGCTGTGCCACCAGGTTCTTCTTTAGGCATATAAGGTTTACTCCATTGCTTCAGGGAGTGCTACTGGGAGAGAACCTTCAACTTCTGTACTCCCTATAGTCGGAAGCAATCTCACCCAAGGTCACACTCACTGATTTAGCCTTAATACGGTATTTGATCAATATTGAAAATTGATTAACTCAATTCAGGAGAACATGGATTTTTCATACCAGTTTTAGAATGTCCCATGCAATCACTGGAGACTTGTTGAGACTATATTGCTCTCAATTTCCTACCTAAATATGATCTATTTCTTCTATCCATAAAAACCACTCCTTAACAATCTTCTTGAGTATTAATCTCCATCCTGGCATCTGCATTCCAGAAAACCCAGCTTAGATATTTGGCACCAGGAATGGCCCAAAAA